CTAGAATGTATTATTGATGATTTCATTGCATAACTTAAGTAAAATCCAATTACGTAAACAATAATCTGTGGACATAATGGTATAAAAAAATCTCAACAAGCCAACATAATGAAAAAAATTTTTAATATCTAACACTCAATGCATACAATCAACAAAGCATGCGTTTAAAAAAATGCAAGTTATCCTAATTTGTTCAAGAAAACCTTTTTTTTGTCTCGTATTCCAAAACATAACATTCCATATCATAACATCTCGAATAGAAATTCCAAACAAGATGCACGTATTCATTATCTTTCCGAACTATTTCCTTATAGATTTTGAAGTCCCTTTAAAGGGCAAAAAGAAAAAAGGAAAAAAAAACACTTTATGCCTATTCTAATGTAAGAGATGTATATAACTTTATGACAATACATGTTACATACTAAAGCTCACAATTTCTAGGTTTAATTGTAGTGAGAGATTGTAATTTAATTTAATAATGAGAAGATAACTAAGAAGTTGTAGAGCAATTTTCTGACAAGAAGATAGTTAAAGCAGGAGAGAATCTAAATAAAACAGAGACTAAGATTTTTTGCAAGTGTTTCAATTTAACCGCAAGTTAGGGATGATGGTATTGATTTGTTAAAGTGATTGTTGATGCGCCTCCCCTCAAAATGCCAAAACTTTACCAGACATGATTGACTTTTCTTTTCCATTTTTTATTACTATTCTCATTGAATTAATAATATGCAAACACATTGTTTCACAACTCAAAATCTATGCATATATGAAAGTTCTTATTAGACAGTGATTTTTTTCCTAGAATTAACTTTCATTAACTGAAGGTATACGATAATATCCATCCATGAGAAGAAAGGAGATAATGTTATGAAAGCCCTTAATTAAATCTCAAGATAAATATATCTCTTTAGTATTGATAGAACCTAACACATTAAAACCTTTGTGACACAAAATTGCTTTTTTAGATATCATATTTTCCATGATTAGAATGAAACATGCACAAGATAAAATTGAGTTCATCAAGGAATAGAAAATTCAAATATCCAACACTAATGATGACAGTAGATTTTGTGATGTGGACTAGGTAATAGAAGATTCTTGCATGTAATCTATGCTGGCCAGGGACACAATTACAAACAAGATTCTGCTGCTTCCTTGTCTTGTGGCTACTATGACCAAGATGCAACTTGACTTTGATACCAATTAATCACGACCCAAAATGAGTTGTGATGGGTGGATAGGCTAAGCTAATTTATTTTCACTTTACCTAGCAAGCCTGAACGCTTACCTCTTACACAAAACATATAAACACAATACAATTTCGCTTTACTCCACATTTCACAATTTACAATATTCCAAATTCTTACCTTTTAAGTTAATTAAGTTAATAATATTTGAAGAGAGTTTAAGGGTATTTAAATACATTGAAAAATAATTTAGAATCAATTAGGACTTGGAAGAAGATAAGAAGTGAGCTGTCTTTGTAATAAAAAAAATTTAAAAAAACCAAATGATAATATTTTTAAGTAATTCTTTTTGCATTAGAAAGTATACATCTCAAACTTTCTATAGAGTTCTAATTCATAATTTTGAAGAAATGTGCAATTAATTATTAATTTTTGAACTTAGATCAGTGAAACTATACCGTTGGCCATGGCGAACGGCACATTTTCAGACTTAAATTTTTTTATCAAGAAACAAAATAGTAGAGATGATTTTTGAGAGGATTGGGGTGATTTTTGGAGAGCTTTGCTAAGTTTTCATGAAGGATATGTATTGACTATGTTTTAGACCTCTAACCACTAAGGTAACCTTCCATAATCCCTTCTCTACCTTCTAAACCCCTCTTTAAGCTAGTTTTTCATAAAGATTATATTTGGGTTTTCATTTCATTTTTAAGTATGCCCAGCCCTTGGGTTTGAATTATAAGGCTTTTTTGAAGTTAAATAAGTGTTATTTAGGTGGTTTTGATGATATTTATCATGAGAGGATGCTTAAGTCCAAAATTATAGAG